TCATAAAAATGTCCAGCTACTTGAACAAATCATCATGGCTATCCTTAGACGTGAAAACAACATGCAACAACGTGGTACATATCAATTAAAACGAAAACTTGAAATTATCTTCAATCAAACCCAACTAGAAACACAAGCACTCAAATAACACAAAGAATAAACTAAAACTTTCTAAAAACCTCATTCCATAAACTCAAACGCAAACCTAACATATGCTTTTCGAAATAAAGATAAACAAATATATAAAAAATATAACAATTCATACATATTAAATATATAAAAAAAACTACATCCTTTCATTTCAGATTATCACTAACCGTCCATCGCCAGTAAACATAATCAATCTACCAAACATCAACGAACAACATAACTAAAATCAGCACTGCAACCATATCCAACCATATTCACTCAACATCAAAATAACTACAATACTCCGGTACCTTTATAACATCACTTATTATTTAAAAGGGTTTCATCTACTTGGAACTAATCCTTGTAGATTTTAGGTATCATACTTGGATTCAGGTTTATTAAAAACTTTGGATCTCTTAAAGTTGATGCTTCTACCACTTGATAAGAATTTGAGACAGTAACATCGAAATACCTACGGTATTGTGGTAGCTTTATCACACCCACACCCACACCCACACCTACACCCACACCCACACCCTCTACAAAATGATGTGTTTTGACGCTATCATACACGTGAGCTCGAGACGAGTCTGATGATTCTTTACATATCTACAAGAAAGGTGGCTATTTCTTAGCTTAAATTCATTGTTTTTTTGGTTATTATGCAACTCATCAAAAGATTGATTTTATTGGTCTTGGGTTCACATGTACAATAGCGTCAAAACACATCATTTTGTAGAGAATTTTTCACTCTATCAGGCTTCATGATAATCGTCATTATAGTGTCTCAAAAACTGTTCTAAAATGGCCCAAATAATAAAACCAACGGATATTATGATGAAGGACAATGAATGAAAAAGTTATTAGAGCTAATGAAAAGCAATCTTTATCTATAATCAAAATGCCTCATTCGGCGTAATTTTGTATACTCTTTTCAACTATGTACTTTGAACATCAACTTTGCCTTAGATAACCACAAGAAAACCTAAGTTTTTTATGAAAAACCATATAAGTTACCCTATACGTTTTGGGATTTGGATTTTTAAGGTGCCTTCAGATGGTGAATTTGCAAAGTAAATTAATCTATTTTGTAAGTCACACTCTGCTCATTTAAATGATGTCTTTAGAAGCAGATTTATTGCTTGTTATGTTAAAGAAAAGCATCATAAACAAGATCATACTTTATTTCGTTTCTAAACTTTTTTCCGCTGGAGAAAAAATAAAACTTTATTAATGATACGGAGACTAGGGTCTGCAAAGTTCTTCTATATCCATTGGATGACTATAGATTCTATCTAGCTATATCAATTGTTAGAACTTTCTCAGTCTTTGTTTTTGTACAGAATCAAACGAAACAATGTTGTTTCTAAACTTTTTTCCACCACTTTAGGTCATAACACACTGTTACTCTTGTTCGCGCATGCTATATATAGCGCTGATTTGTTTTCAATAAATCATCACTATTCTTCATCTCACATTCTGAGTTAGTCACCATAGCGATCCGATCTTTAGATAGGGCAGCACGTCATCAATTGAGTCAGGAAAAAGAACTATTATGTCGTCATTGTGAGCTAGGAAAAAACCGAGTCTATTTTTTTTAATTCAATTTTTTTGAAAAAACGAAGAAATTTCATATGGTTTTCCAGAAAACTTCGAAAACCCTACCCAAAACCCAACTTCCGGCCACGCCAACCCCGTCTCGATCTTCCCCTGGACGAAAGGGTGTAGCGTACAAAGTTTTGCTGCTTTAGGTCCTACAGAGACTGAATGCATAGCAAACAGACAAAAATTCTTCTTTATATGTATAGATTAGACTATTAAATAGCTTGGAAGTGAACATTTTGGATGAAACAGTAGTTCTTGACTCAACGACAGCACAGAGGTAAAATCAAGAAGAGAGTAATCCAGCAATCGGAAAAATCTTCAATTTTTTTGAAAAATCGAACAAGATTTCGTATGGATTTCCAGAAACCTTGTGAAAAAACTCCCCAAAACCCTACTTTCGACCCCGAAAACCCCATCACGACCTTCTCCTGGTCGAAAGGATATTCCCTGCAAAGTTTCATTGTATTTGCTCGTATCGTGTCCAAATGCATAAATAACAAACAAACACACAAACACACAAACAAACTTTCTTCTTTATATATATAGATGAGGGTGACATATGTAATTGATATAAATTCAGATCTGAGACCAAAAATAGAAAAACTCGATCCCTCCTATTTTTCTTAGGCAACAAGCTATAAATCTAAAATTTTGGATTTATACATAACTTGAGTCGGGCTATGCATCGGTGAGAAGATTTGGGTCTCGGTTGGTCTTCGTAGAGTCAGCTCGCTGAGCTCTATCTACTGATGGTATCAGTTCCCGATTTGGGACTCTTCACGGGTATTTGTGTGTTTTACAAATATCTGTTAAATAAATACAGAAAAGTAACATTAGTTTAAAGTAATATGAGCAAGTTCTTCTACTTATTCTACTAACATTCCCTGTCTTCAGAACATACTTAAAATTTCGTTTTCACCTTGATCCTCACCATCATTCTAACGTTACCCCATCCTCATCCTGATCTTCAGCTTCCAGATGTAGTTCCGAGATTGAGCGTCTGTTTAAGAAAAAGTTTTTGTTCTTTTATTACAAAATTTTCGATAAATTATCGTTCGACCAATTTCTGGATGTAGAAAAGTGGAATTTATTGTCGATCAAATGACGTTTCTATGTTTAGTTCACACACCTGTGCACTAAAATGACCGTAAAAAACTAATCCACGTCGAGATGAACGGTTAAAGAGCGCATTCTCTAACCATTCGCTTCGATGTGAGAACAGGCCGAAAGTTTGCTCCGCTAAGATATATCAAGCTAAAATTTTTATCATAAACGGTTTTCATCAGAGTTTCAGTTCAAATGGTTCGTTTTAAGTAGAAAATCATTTCTGAGGAGGCCTTTAAGACGACATTATCGTAAAAGAATGGAGAATGGATCAAATTTTTTTTCTTGTTCTGTACTATCTCAAGTCTGTTTATGATAAATGAAAAAGCATTGCACAACTAGGAAAGCGATGCGTCATGTATTACGCGTTAGTTTTTTCTGCTCTTGAGACTGGAAAGATTTTCATGTTAATTTCTACATTAAACGAAAGAACACGAGAAACATCCCACAATATAAAACTCCATTAAATTATATTTCTTATTCACTTACACAAATCTCCAATTTTGAATCATCGAACAAAGTAGAATTTAGCACTATCAGATATTCCTACAACCATATAAGCTCAAACAGAAAATATAAATGAAGGATTCCCAGAGAAACCGCAGTACATAATTACTCCAACCAATTTTATCCTCATATGAGCAGAAGGAAGCCATTTAGAGATTTTATTCGGTGAGGTTCCTTAGCGATTTTATCACGTCCTCTTTTCACTATTAGTATAATTGTGTTATCAAATTTAAAAGTACAATAGAATTTAATGATTTGAAAGAATCTTTAAAAAAAATTTTAAATAAAAACTTAATTTTAATACGATGATTATGGGCTAACCAAATTCTTGAGAATATATATATGTATCTCATTTTTCATTTTACGTGACTCTCCAGTCGATTTTAAAAAATGACTAATGAAAACAGTGGTTAAAAATAACTCGATGAATCCGATGAAAAAGCACGAAGCTGTTAATAGTATTCTGTCTACCTTATACTCTTGATATTTTTCTCATCAAAAGTGAATTATTTACATTTATTTCGTAGAGCTTCTACAAGTTCCCTGTGCTTTTTAAGATCAGGATGGTCGGAAGGTAACGAACGCTGTCGAATATCGAATGAACGTTGAGCGAACGAGTATGCCATCGAGTACTGTTCCATATGAACATACACCAGACTAATGTCAGTGTATAATGAAACCAAATGAGGATGATTTGGAGGGAGTACTTTTTCACGGATTTGAAGTGATTTTTCGTAAAACAAAAGTGCTTTTGGATACTGTTTTGTCATTCTATGCCAAGCACCAATATTGTTGTATGAATTAGCCAACTCAGGATGATTTGGAGGAAGTGATTTTTGACGAATTTGAAGTGCTTTTTCATGAAATGGAAGTGCTTTCGAAAACTCTCCTATATTATCATACATACAAGCTATGTTGTTGTATGGAGTAGCCAAACTGAGATGATTTTGAGGCAATGTCTTTTCCATGATTTCAATCGTTTTTTTGCAAAAGAAACATGCTTTTGTATAAAATTTCATTTTCTCATAGATGGTGGATATGTTATTGTATAGAGTAGTCAAATCAGGATGATGTTGAGGTAGTATCTTTTCCCTAATTTCAATCGATTTTTCGAGGAAGAAAACTGCTTTTGAGTATTCTTCCAATTCCATATACAAATAACCGATACTATTGTACGAATCAGCCAAATCGGAATGATTGAAAGGAAGTGTTTTTTGCTGGATTTGAAGAGATTTTTCATAAAACGGAAGTGCCTTCGTGTACTCTCCCATTTTTTTATAGATATTAGCTATGGATGTGTATGAACTGAGATAGAGTTGATGCGATGAATTCTGTGTCTTTTCGAAAATATCAATGGATTTTTCAAGAAAGAAAACTGCTTTGGAGTACTGTCTCATCTTCACGTACACCACAGCAATGTTGCTGTATGAAATAGCCAATGATGGATGATTTGGAGGCATTGTTTTTTGTTCGATTTGAAGTGTTTTTTCAGCGAAGAAAATTGCTTCTGAGTATCTTTCCATCTTTTGGTACACCACAGCGATGTTGTTGTAGGAACTAGCCAAATGAGGATGATTTGAAGGAAGTGTTGTTTGTCGAATTTTAAGTGCTTTTTCGAAAAAAAGAAGGGCTTTTGAATATTCTCCTTTGTTGTCGTACACCATAGCGATGTTATTATATGCATTAGCCAAAAAAGAATGATTTGCAGGGAGTTGTTCTTCAAAGATTTGTATGGATTTTTCGTGAAATGAAAATGCTTTCTCATACTCTCCTATGTCATTATACATCATAGCGATGTTGTTGTATAAAGTACCCAAATTCTGATGGTTCGGAGGCAATATTCTTTCATTGATTTTAAGTGCTTTATTGTAAAACGACATAGCTTCTAAATATTGACATGTTGTAGTCTTTAACAAGCCAAAATCGTTGTATATACGTGCCTTTTCTGCATCAGTTAATGTTCTATCGAGCAGCATCTTGTAATGTTGCTCGGCCATATCAAATTGACCCATTATGACCAGTAGTTTGGCTAATTGATGCCACCTTGAGTAGTCACTTCGAATTTCGTATCTCATGTGTTTAGTTAATTTTTCTAACAGTTCATCATTGTCTGCTGTCAATTCTAATTGTACCTGCCAAAGTCTATTGTTCTCACTAAGTCGTGTGGTTTTGAAAATGCGAAAAATGGTATGCATTGAAAATAGTATTTCATCTTCTTCTTTGATATAGCTTAAATTATGTAAATCAGCGAATGGAACAAGTGATTTTGATGTATCAATCGTTATTTCAAAAAAGATTCCAATCAAATCCGAGTGATATTGATTACTGTCAGCATATGCGAAAGACAAGTCATGATTTCTACTTGTGGATAAAAAGTTGTTGAATGATATAAGACCACCGATTGAATTTTGTAGTTTCTCAAAATCCATATATGACATGCCTTGTCCTCGATAAACAGTGAAAACCCGTGTCTTTCCAATTGTATATTGCTCAGCATGCAATTGCTTAATTTGGTTATGTAGATCTCGTATAAAAAATCCCATCTTAATAATGCAATCAACGTCTTGTATACGCAAAGCATAATTCAACATGCGATACAAGAAAGTCTCACGTGTATACCACCGAATAGGTGTTTCTTTGAAATAGTCTTGTTCAAATTCATTGATAAATTTCAATTGATATTCATTATCGGCATATTCTTCACGGAAGTACTGAGTCAGATCTTTTATTGATTTTTCATCATAATTCAAATCAAGGATAATTTCTTTCAGTAACTGAGTATACATAAACGATTGATCTAGTTGATGTAAACTTTTATTTGGATCGGTATCATCAATTGAAACCATACTGACAGAGAGTTTATCTTCATCTCGACGACGTACAGCTATTTTCAATGATTCACAAATCGAACTAACTTGATTGAAGATACCAATCACTTTTGGCCAATGTGTTATCCATTGTTCATGATATGGTATATCTTGGAAAAAAATGTAGATCGCTTCTAACTGTGGTATATCATGAATGCAAGGTATTGTACAACAAGCATAAGCATATGAGATAATCAGAACTAATTTGAGATGATTCATATCTGTGATAAAATCGATACATTCGTCAGGATCAGTAAACTTTTCAATTGTATTAGCTATTCTTTTTATTTGTTTGATTGAATCAAGATAAACAACACTAGTTTCATCGATGTCTGCATCGAGCCAAACAAGAATAAAATTTTGGACGAAATAATTCTGTTGAACTGAAATCTGTTTTAATGTTGCTGCCGTCTTATTGTCCATATTATATGAGTGAATTGAAAGTAACATGTGGATGAAAACATCATACGAAACTCACAGCCACTTCTGCGTTAATGTTATTGTACAATCTTTTTGCAGTCGTTTCTATTGCGAATGTTTGTCACGTTTGTTCTTATTCGACGATTTCATCACGTAAACATTCTTTCTTTTCTTTAACAGTGGTAATGTATTTTAACGAAGCTTATATTTTCTGCTTTGGAGGAATCGATTAAAAAGTATTTTTTTCTGTTCTGGGTGTGGGTGTGG